GAATTGTTCCAAAGTTTTAATGTGTATTTCTTCTGAAACAAATTCTAAATCTTTAAATCTGGGATCTAATAATGCAACCAACATTCCATGTTCTTGTGGAACTTTCCAATAATGTTTAATGGCATTATATAGTGCAGTTTTAACTTGTTTTTTTAAATTTAAACAATTTTGTGGTGTATTAATACTAATTTTTCTGCCAGTAATAGGCTCATCATCATCTTCTGATGCATCATTATAGCTTACATTATCATCAAAAGCTGTATTTGGATTACTTAAATCTACAATTTCAACTTCTGAACTATCAGGTAATAATTTTTGACTAATTATTTCTAATATACTATACATCAAACTAATAGTGGTATATTTACTTCCACCCAAGTATTCAGTTGCTTCAGCAAAATCTTCTAAAATTATAATTAATTCATCAATTGCTTGCCATTCCTCTTCTGTTAAATTTATACTTTTTAATCTTCTGCCATCATACCTTGTTGAAAGATTTGAATCAATCATCATAGTAGTTGCCATAATTTCAACAAGATCTTTAATTTTAATTAGACGTTTCCATGCAAGATAACTAGAATTCCATCTTGTCTCTACATCTGAAATTAATCTCAAATATTCATGAATATTTTCCAAATTCTATATTTTATTAAATAATAATAAAAATATCAATAAAGTTGTTCAACCAAGTTTACAATTTAAAAATTTATAAATTGTTTAATAATTATCTCATTATTGATATGACTATTATTTTTTTGTATTTCTATTAATTTTTCTGTTTGTTTAGGTGTAGTAAAAAAATTAATTAGACGTTTAGCTCTTGCAATTAAAACTTCAGCTGGTAGTAATCCTTTTCCTATAACTAATTGAAGTGTATGTGCACTGCAAGGAAGTCGTGTAAGTTCAGTCATCAATGCTTCTGCTTTGACCATATTTGATCCATTATCTGTTGTTAATGTAAAAACTTTTCTAGTTAAATTCCAATCTGAGATAATTTCAGTTAATACATTACAAATATTATATCCAGTATGGGGATATGGTATATATTGAATTGCTAAAATAGCTTCACAAAGTTTGAAATCATTATCAATAAAAGAA